TGTCGGCTCAGCGCGGCAGCCATTTAAATTTAAATGAAGCCACGATTATTTAAACGGCAGCTTCATTTCCCTCTGCCGATCAGCCTAATCTACATGGCTCCATTGATGGAGCCATGTAGTTTAGACACACCCTTAGTGTCAATGGAAAGGCAGAAGCACACAAGGAGAACTGTTTCCCCAGTGGAGGAAGTGGAACGGACAGCCAGAACTCTGAGCCTTGCCCCTCTAGCACCTATTTATATGTAATGATCTAGCCTGTTAGCGGTCCTTAATCAATCCGTTCTCTTTCATTTCTCCTTCTTTGTGCTCATCACCCTCTCAAGTCACACAGCTAGGTGGATTTCAGACACTCCTCATTCTCTGGATCCTTTGATTGGCCTTTCTAAGAACTATCCTTGTACAAGGCGGAGCAGGATGGTCTTCATACTGCCTGCCCTGAGACATCACAGCTGTGCAGCTTGGACACTATAACTGTGCTCAAGTTACCTTGTCCCAAGCCTCGCTCCCAGCTTCTGGAAAGGAGGGAAAGGAAAATTGTTTTATAAAACTAAACTCCTGCTAGAAAGAAATCATTTAAGTTGATGGGAGTTGTGCCATTGGTTTCAATGGAGCCTGGATATCACATCTTAGGTTTGATTCTCCAACTCCTTGCCCTGTGTGTAGTAATTTACACTAGTGCAAAGTAGGTGATAGGGTAACAATAAATTGTGTAAATCACTGTACAAGGCTACGTAGTGGGAGTCAAGTCCCTCATGTTTAAGAACTGTGGTTAGGGGGATAAATCAGTTCTGTAGAGAATCAAGCTATAAATAGTAAAACTGTGTTTGTGTGTTATAGACAGTGTGTATAATGTGTTTGAAATCTGATTCCATTTTACAGTGATTATAACAATATACAGGCAGCATATGAGGCCATGAAGAATGTAGCATGCCTGATCAACGAGCGCAAACGAAGGCTGGAAAGCATAGACAAGATTGCACGCTGGCAAGTGTCTATTGTTGACTGGGAGGTAGGTGTCACTTTTCCATTTTCATGAAATATTTAAGATTAAATGTACTGTGCTCTTAAATTATCTCTAGGGGTATGTTTCTTTCCATGCTGTAGGGTATGGTGCATACATTTCACGTGGGCCTTGTTCAGTTAAAAGTCAAATTGCTTCACTTGCAATGACTCTGTTATTGGTTATCTTGTTTCTTACTCAGAAAGAACTGTTGTAACACATGTTTGTATCTTTGAGATTACAAAGACATGTTGAAAGAGAACAAAATGTATTTTCTTTTAGTTTGGGACCATTGTATCTGATTCTGATTTCTTTATAGTTATACATTAGGGTAACTCCACTGACTTCAATGAAGGTTACCCCTGGTTTGCACCAATAAAACTGAGAGTAGAATCAAGCCCATAGTTTTTGTGAAACAGCTTTGTCTACATTTTACATGTATAGAGTTTTAAAAGGTTTGTTGAAACAGAAGTACAATTCTGGCTGTCGTGACCAAATGCTACAAAAATAATTATTAGTAATACGATAATATCTTAAAACAATATTTATTTATTTATTACACATGTGTTTCTATATATTTTAGGGGCAGGATGTTTTAGCCAGAAGCTCAGAATTGATTCACTCGGGTGAGCTGACCAAAATCTCAAAGCAAGGCAAAAGCCAGCAAAGGATTTTTTTCCTTTTTGACCATCAGCTTGTGTTTTGTAAGAAGGACCTGCTGAGAAGGGACATGTTATACTATAAGGGTCGGCTTGATATGGATGAAATGGAACTTGTGGACATAGAGGATGGCAAAGATAAGGACTTCAACATTAATGTCAAGAATGCTTTCAAAACTGTGAATAGAGCAACACAAGAGGTTCATTTGTTTTGTGCAAAAAAACAAGAGGATAAGAAAAGATGGTTGGAGGCATGTGAAAATGAAAGAAGAAGAGTGCAGGAAGACAAAGAAATGGGTGAGTGCAAAGCTTTAAAGGGTGGAGGGAAGTGTTAAATCAAAAGGAAATGTTTGGGTTTCTCACCTTTTTAGCTCCATGCAAGTAGATTGTCACTCTTCTTGAGCAGCTGTGCCTGTTTATCAGACACAAACTTCAGCTATACAAGCGTCTGTTATTTCCCATTGAGTTGTCTGCACCTTGTGATCCTGACACTGGAGACTGGAATGGGCCTGATGCTGTGATGAGTTATACAGGCAGTCCCCGGGTTACGTACAAGATAGGGACTGTGGGTTTGTTCTTAAGTTGAATTTGTATGTAAGTCGGAACTGGTGTCCAGATTCAGCTGCTGTTGAAACTGACCAGCAGCAGCTGAATCGGACATGCCTGGGGCAGAGCAGCTGGGGTGCTGCTGGGTTGGTCCCGCAGCACCGCACCTCGGTGCTGTGGGACCAACTCGGCAGCCCCCCAGCTGCTCTACCCCAGGCGGCCTGATTCAGCTGCTGCTGAAACTGACCAGTGGGGAGACAACACCACGGTTG